ATGGAATCGGATCTTCGGCATGACGAGCGAACGCTTTAACCACCAGGCTACCGATATGTCAGATACAATTCCATTGTCACTTGTACTATATCTTCACGTGTTTTTTCGGGTGAATAAATGACTTGCCTGTGGTGATTCCTAAACACATGCTCCTGATACACTCCGAATCGCAAAACCTGCATCAAATGTTTCATTTGTTTGTTTGCTGTTTAACGCCGCACTCAGCAATACTCCAGCTATTTGACGGCAGTCTGTAAATAATCAAGTCTCAACCAGACAATCAAGTGCTTAACATCACGAGCATCGTTGAATGGTTTGATTGGTTTCTTGTTTAACGCCGCACTCAGTAATACTCCAGCTATTATGACGGCGGTCTGTAAATAATAGAGTCTGGACCAGACAATCCAGTGATTAATATCACGAGCATCGATCCACACAATTTGGATACGATGACATGCATCAACCAAGTCAGCGAGCCTGACCACCCGATCCCGCCTCTTACAAGCATGAATGTTACAAGCTCAGCATCCGTGCAGCATTCAACTTGTACGCACAAGTGTCACATGAAAATAAAACCGACACGACCATTTCCTTATTCATAAGAAATCTCTGCTAAAAGCACAGCCGATTGTATGATTCTGACTGTATCCTTAGCATGTGTCACATTTGGAAATGTCCTCCACATGTCGACCATAAAACACGGTGAAAGCTTTACCGAGGACTTGAATGCTGTAACCTTGATCAAACAGCTTTTGCGCAAGAGTCGTACGCTGCTCTTTGAACTCATCTCTCGTCTTGACTGAACATGGAGGCACTGCTTTTATTGCCTGTACTGCTAGCGCTTCACAAGCTTCAAACCAGATGAGATATATTTTCATAATACGGGACACTTTTCTTTCTAAAGAGAGGCTTCTTGTCCCCATCTTTCGAAAACATTTGTTGTTTGTTTGTTTGTTTGTTGTTGTTTTAAAGACGCACTCAGCAGTATTCAAGCTGTATGGCAGCGGTCTGTAAATAATCAAACCTGGACCAGACAATCCATTGATTGACATGAGCATCGATCGCAACTGGGATACGATCACATGCATCAACCAAGTCAGCGAGCCTGACCACCAAAACCCGTTAGTCGCCTGTTACGTCATGGGTCTCTGGAGACCAATTCTCTACCCGGATTTCACGGGTCGAAAACTTTTGTACAAACAAAGGCTGCTTTGTATTCCCGCCATTTTGCCAATAACAACATCGTCATCAGCAACGACAACATTTTCATTTCTTTTCTACTGAAATAGTCGTACATAAATCGTCGAAAGTACCACTCCTGACAAGTACACATGTATCGCACCCAGGAGCGAAAGCCGACCCCGTGGTCTAGTGGTAGAGCGTCCGCCCGGAGAGCGGAGGGTCCGGGGTTCGATCCCAGGCCGCGTCATACCCAAAAGACGTTATTAGATGGTACTTGTTGTTACCCTGTCTGGCGCTCGGCATTAAGAGGCTAAAACAAGGACTGGTCGGCTCGGAGTCAGTACACTGTGTCTGAGTGGGGTATTCATGTTAAACTGCAGCATGGTATATCTATGTGCTAGCACTATAAATCGGCATCAGTCCGTACTGGTACAAGCAGCCACACACATACACGCACACACACACACATACACGTGCATGCACGTCGCTATATAAGTGCAATAATCTTGGACACGTTAAACCCAGTCTCACCTCACCTCACCTCACCTCACCTCGTCTCGTCTCACCTCACCTCACCTCATCTCACTCAGGTGTGGAGGAAAGATTATTCGATGTATATATGTATTCACAATATCCAATCTCCTTAATATTTTCCTATCTTCCGGTTTCAGACTTACGCCGATGGCATAATATAATATCTCCCTTGGCACATCGAATTGTGTCGCTTTAGACGATTGTCAGATCCGGGGTAGAATAGGTCTTCAGCAACCCATGCTTGCCATAAAAGGCGACTATGCTTGTCGGAAGAGGCGACTAACGGGATCGGGTGGTCAGGATCGCTGACTTGGTTGATGCATGTCATCGTATCGCAATTGTGTGGATCGATGCTCATGTCAACCACTGGATTGTCTGGTCCAGACTCGAATATTAACAGACCGCCGTCATATAGCTGGAATATTGCTGAGTGTGGCGTTAAGCAACAAACAAACGACTGTCAGACCTCTCCTTCCGCTAGCCCTAGTTACAGGAGGAGGTGGGCAAGGGATGTAGTCATACAGACCCTGATACAAATATATCCAATAAAGACCATGCAAGTCTATAATCTTTGGCAAGTCTGAAGAGAGCCTCGGGGCTCCTATTTATTATATTTTTATTAAGATAATTTAACAACTGATTTTTCTGCAAGTTATCATTTCAGAGACCAGATGTTAGTCTAACAAGGGGAGCTATGTAATGATGGTAGTGTTGCACCATCTTCAACAACACACACTACACCGACAGGATCAATACCTGTATACTACGGATACACGGCCAGATAAGTTGTGGGAGGACGGTTAAAGATGAAACAGCGTCTTTGGCCGTTGTTGTGGGCCATGGTTGTTTTGTTGGTGTCTTAATTATTTTTTCATTTGCGATTTTATTGTTTGATGTTGTGCAGGATAAAAGCAAGACGATGGGACCATCAATAAACACGCGGAGACCTGAATACCGACTATATGAAAATTTAATCAAGACATTTTGCGCCAGGCGATTTTGGGATATCTAATACATCTCCTGATCGGTAGCGAGAAGGGCACTTAAAGGACAATTAAAGGGCACTTAAATGGCACTTAAAGGGCACAGGACTAAGACACCAGTACTGGAAGATGGAGTGAGTGAGTGAGTTGGGTTTAACGCTGCTTTTAATAGTATTCCAGTTACATCGCAACGTGCCAGCTTAATGTGGGAGGAAAGCCCGAAGTGATGCAGGTCTCAGACGTTTACCACTTCGGTGAAACCCACCAGCACGGGTATGGTACTGACAAACCTAGAAACATAATCGGGGCGAACCGGGATTCGAACCCACAATCATAGGTTTCTGGCGTGCCCAGGGGACGCAACTCTGCACAGCGAATAGCGGCGCCTTAGACGACTGGGCCACCCGTGACCCAGTACTGGAAGATATTCAGAGACCGAAATGGTGAGATATACAGACATACGGGATATTGTTTGGGGGAATCTCAGGCAGGAGGGACAAACGGTTTCAGGAATTTGTTTTGTTTACATGGTTTAAGGGAATACAATACAAATAAAAAGGGCAGTTGTAATGCCTGTTTATATATTTCACTAAAACCTAAAGTAATAGAGTCGCGGGCACAGGAACAGCTTGAGGCCCGTATTGTAAATAGTATACAAGAGATATATAATTAATAACGGTTTACCTTGTTGTCTGGTTTCGGAATTGTTCGCTTTATTACCTGTTACGGTGAATGTGTATATTGTTTACCCAACCGACAGTACTTATAGTTTTGCAATTATGTATTAATTTTATCTAAAATAATATAAAGGTCCTCAGAGCAGGAGAGACACGGCTCCAGGATCAGGAGGAGAGAAACGGCTCCCGAAACAGGAGAGAAACGGCTCCCGAAACAGGAGGAGAGAAACGGCTCCCGAAACAGGAGAGAAACGGCTCCCAGAAACAGGCCAGACACGGCTCCCGAAACAGGAGGAGGGAAACGGCTCCCGAAACAGGCCAGACACGGCTCCCGAAACAGGCCAGACACGGCTCCCGAAACAGGAGAGAAACAGCTCCCGAAACAGGAGAGAAACGGCTCCCGAAACAGGCCAGACACGGCTCCCGAAACAGGAGAGAAACAGCTCCCGAAACAGGAGAGAAACGGCTCCCGAAACAGGAGAGACACAGCTCCCGAAACAGGCCAGACACGGCTCCCGAAACAGGAGAGACACGGCTCCCGAAACAGGAGAGAAACGGCTCCCGAAACAGGCCAGACACGGCTCCCGAAACAGGCCAGACACGGCTCCCGAAACGGGCCAGACACGGCTCCCGAAACAGGAGAGAAACGGCTCCCGAAACAGGCCAGACACGGCTCCCGAAACAGGAGAGAAACAGCTCCCGAAACAGGAGAGAAACGGCTCCCGAAACAGGCCAGACACGGCTCCCGAAACAGGAGAGAAACAGCTCCCGAAACAGGAGAGAAACGGCTCCCGAAACAGGAGAGACACAGCTCCCGAAACAGGCCAGACACGGCTCCCGAAACAGGAGAGACACGGCTCCCGAAACAGGAGAGAAACGGCTCCCGAAACAGGCCAGACACGGCTCCCGAAACAGGCCAGACACGGCTCCCGAAACAGGCCAGACACGGCTCCCGAAACAGGAGAGAAACGGCTCCCGAAACAGGCCAGACACGGCTCCCGAAACAGGCCAGACACGGCTCCCGAAACAGGCCAGACACGGCTCCCAGAAACAGGAGAGAAACGGCTCCCGAAACAGGCGAGACACGGCTCCCAGAGACAGGAAGAGGGAGATAAACAGACGCGAGTTGAGGAGACACAGAGGAGGATGTGCAGTGTAAACAGACCCTGAGCATGGAGGCAGGTCCGCGCAGTGTGCGACTGCACCATGGCTGAGCGAGACTGGCGTGGATGCATCATGTGTTGTTACAGGATGCAGCGACACCCCTCGACACTCCCCACTGTACCCGCCCCCCTACTGTACCCGCACCCACACGTCAAACATGCATAGTGCTAAAAACATTACTATTCATCATCACAATACAATACCCTTGTTATTGTTGATTGCGATACACTTGTCTAAACCGGGTATTGGTAAACAAAACATAAACAACGAAGACAGAATTAATTATAGTCCAGGTGGGTATAACGGGGATATATCCCGCCTGAATGTGTACAGTGCACAGCGCGGGCAGTGAGAAGGTTCGCATTCGTTGTGAATCCCAACACACTCAAGTTGAAGGTGAGCCCAACGAATCAAAAAACAACATGACTTTTCTCAACATAAATGTGTTACGCCACAGCTGAAACGCCAATGTGCCCGCCAATCTCACTCCCCTCGCCGCCTTATACCATCCACATCATGTTCTAGCATATTTAAATTCAAGCACAAAAACACAAGACGAAAAATGCTCGTCGTTTCTTGAAAAAGATTTGACCCAAATTCCTACCAGCTTACGCCATATTGGTCCGTTACCTCATTGGGGTCAGCGAGATGTGTGCTGGAAAAAGCTGCACATGAACGCGCGCGTGCTACTTACCGACTGACCAGCTGACCATCAGAGTTAAGAACAGCGTCAGGTGAGCGTACGGGCCCTCCATATCATGAACTAGGCACAACTATCCCGTTTGAAAAACTCCTTCATTGTACCGTGCCTTCGAGGCGGTCTTGCTGTGACGTCGATCTCTCCTGAGCGCTGAGAGTTTTCGAGGGCTGACTGGCTAGGCTCGCTCACTCACTCGGGCGCTGTCTGTTCAGACCTGTAACGATGTAGCGGTAGAGTGCCCGTCGGTAGCTGTGTTGCAGCTGTATTTCGGTAGCGCAGTCGTTGTGCATGCAGTGTAACTGCGGTAGAGCGCTCGGGCAGCGATATTCGCGACAAAATGGGGGCCACTTAATGGCTGTGTTGTATTGAGGTGAAGAACGCGGGCATCCTCTAGTTTGTTTGTTTTCTTGTTTAACGCCGCACTCAGCAATATTCCAGCTATATGATGGCGGTCTGTAAATAAACGAGTCTGGACCAGACAATCCAGTGATTAATATCATGAGCATCGATCTTCGCAATTGGGATATGATGACATGCATCAACCACGTCAGCGAGCCTGACCACCCGATCCTGTTAGTCGCCTTTTACGACAAGCATAGTCGCCTTTTATGGCAAGCATGGGTTGCTGAAGACCTATTCTACCCCGGATCTTCACGGCATCCCCGAGTAGTGACACTGGTACTCCCCTTCCAACGAAACGTAAAAAAGCCACGTATGACATATCATTTTAAGGCATTATTTAAAAAATAATTTATTCCAGGTGTTACCCCAACATAATTGTTGGCTGAACATGCTCGCTTCCTGAAATATATTTTACTTTTTATCTTTTCTTTTCAGAGAAAAACTCGTACGACAAGGCGGCAACTGAAAAACAATTTTGTCTCCAAGCTCACCCTAATTCCCCTCGAAAGAATGGGAATATTGTTCCTCCTATACGCAACACGTTTCCTCCTGTCGGAGAGGTAAATAACCCACGACGTCCATTCTGTATTCCACGTTGGTCGCGACATCTCATGTAGGGTACTAGAAAATTATCTCCTGTGTAGGGTGCGATACTTCTATGTAGGGCGCAGAGCTCCAGATAAGCTGCGTATCTGCGTAAAATACGCACCAGAAATGTAGAAATACGCACTAAAATAAAATCCAAGCGTATCAAATACGCAACGAACATTACAGATACGGTACAAAAATAAAACTTGTGTGTATCATCAAAATATTGTGAAGTAATCCTGCGTATTCGATTAGCAAATCAGCAACTTATTTTGAAATCATAAACGGGCATTCTGTCAACCTTGCCAAACTCCACGATGACAGTTACATCATGATCATTTGCCATCACACATTCGTGTGGAAGTATCGTGGTATTTTTGAGTCCTATAAAGCTCTCAAACCCACACGACACCAGTTTGCAGGGACTAGATGAATAGTGTTTTTAAATATTTAACTTAAATATCCACATGTGTAAAAACTAGTGGGTAACAGATATTTTAATACCCAGATAGAATTACTGATACCCAATGATTTAAAAATGCATGGGTAAAATACCCACAACACCAAAAGTCCATCTGGAGCTCTGAGGGCGTGATATATCCTATATAGGGCATATTATCATCCAAAACTGGCTCCCACAGGAGATAGCGCTTGGGTGAGAACAAGCAATATCTACATTGTAGATTTCGCTGCAATGAAATTACATCACAATGCATTGCAGACCATTGTGACGTCATTGTTACTATAACGTCACAATCAAATTACGTCACTAATGGCGCTGCTACTGAAGCTGTTAGGAGTACTTTTTACACTAAGACACTGCTTATTACTGTCTACAAACTGAGAAAGTTGAAAGAATAATGTTAGATGATAAATAAAATTTCACCCTCGTGTCTTTTGATATCAAATATATCAACACTCGTTGATGAAAGTGGAAGCCTCGGAGTTTTTCCACTTATATCAACTCGTGTTGATATATTTGATATCAAAAGACACGGGTGAGATTCTCTATATATATCCTATGTACGTCATATATCCTATGTAGGGCATTATCTATATCTATATATGTAGGGTATGTTATCTTCTATGCAATAAAATATATCTCATTATAGCTAAAATGGATAGAATTATCATTAAACCGCCCGCATGTTATCAGAAATTAGCGGGCCACTATAACTTGATAATGCCGTCATTTTGCTTGACGACGAGCCATTATCACCCCCGTTGTTAGGTGACGTCATATTGATCTTCAATAGTGACGTCATCTGGTTTGCTCCATATTTGTAAAGGTGGATCAGCGGCATTCGTTCCGTGTTGATTGCAGTAAATGTTTCAAAACCGATATTGTTGTTTATTTTTATTTGATAACAAATTCTATCCATTTTAGCTTCGTCTGGCAGTTAATGGAAGACCACGGGCTGCTGCAAATAATAATGCCCTAAAAATAGCGTTATCCTTATATGTAGATGAAATAATTTTCCGTAATTCTTACTGAACTTTGGAAACTTTTCTTCTTTATGCTGACTGGTTCGTTTCAGTAGCTCCTCTATTGCCATTGGTTGTGAAGAGGCCCATAGCAACGTGGCGTCATATGAACAGTGTGCCAAACTGCAGATGACGTCATTCATTAGATGACGTCACAGAAAAATTAAAGTGACGTTCCAATAAAAGACCAACTGTTTGTTGTTTGTTTGTTGTTTACGCCACACTCAGCAATATTCCAGCTGTATGACGGCGGTCTGTAAATAATCGAGTCTGGGCCAGACAATCCAGTGATTGACATCATGAAGATCGATGAATGCAATTGGGATACGATGACATGTATCAACCAAGTCAGCGAGCCTGACCACCCGATCCCGTTAGTCGCCTCTTATGACAAGCAGAGTCGCTTTTACGGCAAGCATGGGTTGCTGAAGACCTATTCTACCCCGGATCGATGTCTCCACTTGAACATTCTTCTATGATTTCTAAAAATAAAAAGACTATGGGTAACATAAAAATAACCAACTTGTAACTCGGATAATTACGGATTGCGGTGGCTCGTAAATTATGATTATAATACTCTTTGTCGGACGTTTTAACGTGCAAAATTGACACCTTGTTATTTGTTTTGATTGGATTTGGTAAACTTGACATGGCTAAGGTCATCCATGCAATGCGATGCTGAAACATTTTAAGATTCATAAAATAAAGTAGGAAATTTCTTCACTTTCCATATCATTAAAATCAGATCTTAGTTCTCGCTACGGCTAAATAAAGATCTGAGGACACCCCATTCCAGATCATGCCAGACCGACCTTTCCCGAACTTTCGCTAATGAATGACAAGAAGTCGACATTAGCCAATCAGAAAACAGCTTTCTCGAGCTATAAACGGCACTAGTTTCAAACTGACATTCCAGACAACGCTTTGAAAAATATTTTCACATAGTTCTCGACTCAAAATTTGAAAACTGAACAAAAGAAAATTCTGAAATATCTAATGGATGGTTGAGATTGTTGGACAATAGCCCCCAGGCTATGGAAAGTCTCTTACGTCTCAAATGTTTATCCCGCTGAAGCGATGATTTTGACGGAATCAGTCGTTCTGTCCGTAACTGTCGTCCGGAACATCTCGTTAACCTTTTTCGAGGCGGCATGATTAGAAAACATACTCCGACTGTTACTGCTCTGATGCTCTGAATGGTCGGATATTGACGTGACCTGTAATATTAAGTCCTCAGATCTTCGTTTAGTGGAGTGAGTGAGTGAGTATGGTTTTACGCCGCTTTTAGCAATATTCCAGCAATACCTTCAAACCCGGGTCTTCAGCGTGACGAGCGAACGCTTTAATCACTAGGCCGCCCCTTGTTTAGGGGAAGGTAGAACCAAGATCGGATTTTAATTAGATTGCTCCACAAAAACAAACAAGCTCGTCAGTAAGTATTGTATAAGGATCAAGTTTTAATGATATAAAAACATCAGCCAACAAATAAAGATTCAAATATACCTGTCAACAATGATGGGGTAACCCCAAAAGGAAATTTCATGATAAACGGACAGTGGCATGCAGTCATGTGCACGTCGACACGAGGCGTTTGAAACCTGTGTTTGGATGTATAGTGACAGAATCTTTGCACATCATTATCAGAGAGCACAACTACATTTGCATCTGAGAATTGCAACAACTGAATGCACGCATGCCCACTCATCGTCAAAGAAGAATAAGCAATGCTTGAAACTGGGTTAAACGTATTTGTTGTCAGCCAAAGTTGTCAGCAGGGCATGGAATCGATACCAGAGTGAGTGAGAATGGTTTTACTCCGCTTTTAGCAATATTCCAGCGATATCACGGCGGGGGACACCAGAAATGGGCTTCACACATTGTACCCATGTCGGGAGTCGGACCCGGGTCTTTGGCGTGACGAGCGAACGCTTTAACCACTAGGCTACCCGACCGCCCTGGAATCGATACCAGACGTTTGGATCCGCTACCCAGCGTCATGCTGGCGGTCGACAGCGTTCAACCGTACAACAGGAAGACAGGTCTCTCCTGACTGCAGCAAGACGTCATCACTTCGTGACTGCCACCACACTCAGCAATGGCATGCGGAACGCCAGTGGCGTTAACGTTTTTACTCAGGCAGTGTGTAACCGGCTCATCTCCGGTCACGGAGGACATGCATTCGCATCCCTATGCCCGAGATCACAGGCAGGCACGCTCGGATTTGGTATGAATATATCAATTGGACATACCAGGACTGGGCTCCTGTATTTTTCACTGATGAATCGATATACTGTCTAGATTTCACAGTTTATCGCGCACGAGGGTTGCGCCTTTTATGGTTTCATCAATGTGGTAGACTCTGAGACCTGCATCACTTCGGGCTTTCCCCCCACATTAAGATGACACGCCGTGATATGACTAGAATATTCAAAACAATGTTCAAAACGGCTTGAAAATAGCCAATTCACGAACGCACGCAAGCAAGCACGTAAGTGCCCACCCTGTGCGGCGTTAATCAACACTCACGAACGAATTGTTATCTTGGTTCCGTGAAGAATAGCAAAGGTCGCCTCATCACCTCAGCAATATTCCAGCGGCGGCTGGACCACACAATGAGTGAGTGAGTGAGTATGGTTTTACTCCGCTTTTAGCAATATTCCAGCGATATCACAGCGGGGGACACCAGAAATGGGCTTCACACATTGTACCCATGTCGGGAGTCGGACCCGGGTCTTTGGCGTGACGAGCGAACGCTTTAACCACTAGGCTACCCGACCGCCCCTCGACCACACAAAGCAGTGTTTGATGTTATTAACAACGATCAACGCCGTTGCAGTATGTAGACACGCAAACAACCGAGCCTGACAACCATTTTCAGTTTGGTGAGTGAGTGAGTTGGGTTTAACGCCGCCTTTAACAATATTCCAGTTATATCGCGGCGTGTCAGCTTAATGTGGGAGGAAAGCCCGAAGTGATGCAGGTGTCAGACGTTTAACACTTCGGTGAAACCCACGAGCACGGGTATGTTGCTGACAAACCTAGAAACATAATCGGGGCGAACCGGGATTCGAACCCACAATCATAGGTTTCTGGCGTGTCCAAGGGACGCAACTCTGCACAGCGAATTGCGGCGCCTTAGACGACTGGGCCACCCGTGCCCCCTTTTCAGTTTGGATAGGTCGTGAGAGTGAGCCCAGGGCATCCGTAATGATCCGGGGTAGAATAGGTCTTCAGCAACCCATGCTTGTCGTAAAAGATGACTATGCTTGTCATCCAGGTGACTAACGGGATCGGGTAGTCAGGCTCGCTGACTTGGTTGATGCATGTCATCCTATCCCAGCGTGGTTGGATGCTCATGATGTCAATCACTGGATTGTCTGACCAAGACTCGATTATTTACAGACCGCCGTCATATAGCTGGAATATTGCTGAGTGAGTGAGTGAGTGAGTGAGTGGGTGGGTGGGTTGGTTGGTGGGTTGGTGGGTTGGTTGGTTGGTAAGTTAGTTAGTTTTAGTTAGTTTTAGTTAGTTTTAGTTAGTTAGTTAGTTAGTTAGTTAGGTGAGAGACCAGCCCGGTATCCCCACGGAGATCAGGTTAAAGAATAAGGAAAACACTATACAGATGCAGACACTCTTTGACAATTAAATGTCAAAAAGCACCTGCCCCTGTCGGCGAATTGTTCCTTTGTAATATATATTTCTCTGGGGGGGATTTTTCCTATGGAAAAACCACTAGGAAAACCAAAAGGATTTTTTGTCCACGATACATTACACCAGCAGAAATTGGTGTGGATGGAACTTATTCCGTGTGGAACGGATCAACGTTGACATAATTACCTCCAACAGAACCTCCTTTATCCCAGCAGGTGCCCCGACTGAAACTGGGGCCCTCAAAGCGAGTACCAAGCTGAAACACAACGACAATGGTCGACAACAGGGAAAAACACGTGCACTACGTGCAGCAAGAAAGACCAGAATGTGAAAAGGACTTGTGTAAGCCCATGTCAGAGGTTGAAAACACGTGACTAGATTATCTTTATTGATTCTGTGAAGGCCATTATTAAGCTTGTGAAGGCCATTATTAAGCTTGTGACGGCCATTATTGATTCTGTGAAGGCTATTATTGAGCTTGTGAAGGCCATTATTGATTCTGTGAAGGCCATTATTAAGCTTGTGAAGGCCATTGTTGATTCTGTGAAGGCCATTATTAAGCTTGTGAAGGCCATTGTTGATTCTGTGAAGGCCATTATTAAGCTTGTGAAGGCCATTGTTGATTCTGTGAAGGCTATAATTAAACTTGTGAAGGCCAAAAACGCTCCTGTGAAGGGCATTATTTACCATATATGTCATTATTTACCGTAAGTCATGCATTATTTACTCTATACGATGGATATTTACCCTATCGGAGACATCATTTATCCCGTGAAGAGCATTATGTACCCTATTAATTACATCGATTAACCCTATAAAGCAGAGGTTCCATTAATTGGAAATTATTGTACCCGTATATCGTTTGTTTGTTTGTTTGTTTGTTTAACGCTGCACTCAGCAATATTCCAGCCATATGACAGCAGTCTGTAAATAATCGAGTCTCGGCTAGACAACCCAGCGATTAACATCATGAGCATCGATCCACGCAATTGGGATACGATGACATGCATCAACCAAGTCAGCGAGCCTGACCACCCGATCCCGTTAGTCGCCTCTTACGACAAGCATCGTCGCCTCTTACGGCAAGCATGGGTTGCTGAAGACCTACTCTACCCCGGATCTTCACGCATCACCCATATATCGAGTCACTGTATATTGATATATCACTTAATAGTAACATTAATTATTCTGGATTTGTATTAATAAACTTATTCTGTAGACTTTAATTAATCAAGTTTATGATACATATGAACAAGACTGATCCATCAAATGTTAAGATTTGATTTTTCTACCTTCTCATTGTCCACCATAGCCATGGTCATCGTAGCTGTGTTCCTCATAATAAAGAAGTTGACATCTATAAATAAATCTATAAATTGTCTTCCTCATGGACATCTCAACAAATGTAAACATTTCTTAAACAGTGAACAATTTATTTAGTATCGATATTAATACATTTGTATAAATACAGTGTTATCATTAACAAATCATTGATACAGTAAACTAAGGTTATAACGAACTCA